CCCAGAGCCATCAGACAAACTGCTTGAATGCCCAGAAACAAGAGACTCATCTAGAACCAGCTTCTGCTTAGTTAACAAGAGTTAAAAGTGCAAGAAATGTGGAACAATCTTAGGAAGTGTTAGTAACCAAAATGTTAAATAAATAAGGATGCACTGTGAAAAAGAGGTGACTAAAAATATTTCATGATAGTCCCACAACTGTCACGATTGGTTTTCAATTATGTCACATGACCCACTTGACCTGTAGCTAGTCGCCAACAGTAGCAGCTGGCAGGAGACTGCATTAGAGATTGAGTTTCCAAAATGTGCTGACATCTTTTACAGGCTTCTCAACGTCTTTACATTATTTCTGGGCTTTGCTTGCAGACTGTTGAATCCTTTTCAGTTTTTTCTAAATTTAGTTTTCTGCAACACAAGTGCTACTAATCCTAACCCGGTCATCACAAACCTTTAGCAAATACATCATTGGTCCAAAGTGACCTTGCTAAGCCACTCTATTAAGTATCATATGTGAAAATTCAGAGATTGCTCACCAACATTTACATTCTTCTGGCATCTTTTCTCTCCAGTTAAGCGGCACTTGTTGCAGCGCAGTGAGCTGCTTTTTGGATGTTATTGATACCGTTTATGTAAATTCTGCTGTATAAAGCGGCATCATTAGCAAATCTGAGGGTAACGCAAATGCAGACTTGTTATTTCCTTCTGCTTACAGGGTGGGCTTTATGTAGAAGGCTTAACCTCATTAGTTTTTTGCTAATTAAACTAAACGGCTTGTTGTGTTGTCACCATACCACACGTGGAAAGGAATAGCTGCCTTTTTGCAACTTTTAGCAGATGAGGTAGAGTTTGCTACTTTTCTGGTTCACTCTCAGACTCACACGAGGATTCAGGTTTCAGTGCAGGTTATTGAAAGGGACAGGCTTGCCCCAGGGTGCCACACGTGGGCACCGGGTGGTCAGAGGACAACAGAGGTTGGCAGGATCCAACCTTTCACTACCCAAGCATTCACTATGGAGATAAATCACCTGCCAGGCGAACCCTGCCAGGGTCTGCCCACACACTCACTCCTCTGTGTGCAAAGTGCAGACTGTGTGGAAACTGTTCTCCTTCGTGCGCTGTGTTTGTGTGTGTGTGCGTGAAGTAAGTATGCATGTGTGTTTTTGCGGATTAATCCCTCGTGTCTGTGTGTGTGCATGTGTGTGTGTGCGTGTGTGTGTGTGCGTGCGGTGCTGTATGCATGCACGTGTTTCTGCGCAGTGGACAGAACAGCTGGCTCCAGGGGGAGGTCAGCCATTGTCAACAGGAACACAGACTCGCATGTTTGTCTGTGAAAAACAAAGCAGTCTGTAGTGTTCTTGAGTTACTTGCTGGTTTGGCTGCAGAGATGAAGAATGCACGTTGTGTATTGACACGCCACATGCACTCTGGGACATCTGCACTGCAACAGAAGCTGGCATCGCGGTCCGCTGTGTCATTCTGTTGCTCTCCTTTTGAGCGCCGAGTACGTTGCGAAGTGCAGAGAGTGGCTTCTTATAATTTGACAGCTTATTTACACACTCAGCCATCCGGAGAGTATTGGAGAAGTGTGAGGGTGGAGGATGGGAGTGCCTGCAGCTTCCAGTCCAGGTACCTATAAATAAATAAATGAGTGAAAGGAGAGAGTTGTGTGAGTGTATCATGCGCTTCTTGGGCAGCCTCCTCCATATTCATGCGTTTCCTTGGGGGCCGCCCAATTGGCTATTGTGGAAGAGCGCAGGTGAAGACTGAGGAAGAGAGAGAGGTGTGTGTTTTGGGAGGTGGGGGCTTATGCTGGAAGAGTTGGTCTTTACTGAAGCTTGACTGGTCCCCATGGACCCGGGAGCCACACAGCAGAGCAGGTGGAGGGCTGAGATGCGGGGTGGCATCCTCAGACAGGTACAGAAATGTCTAGTGGGCCAACTTCCAGCGTGCACACGGAGTCACACGCTCCTGCTTTCACAATAATTCCTCAGGACTGTTTGAGGAGCAGGTTGTGCTGAAAGCTGCCGCTGTGACCCCACTGCCCCCGACAAATCTGGAAAAAAAAACTGTTGTGTTTGCATTGTGAGAAAAGCCGGACACAGGTGGTACATTCACTCCCACTGCTACCAGTCCTTTTAAATGGCCTTATGCAGAGACGAAGAGGGGAAAAGAGGAAGCAGATGAACTAAAAAAAGGGTCAGCTCTGTTTGAAATCACTTTCAGCAGCACTTCCTATTTTTCTCGGTTGCTTTGAGTCACACAAAAGGACACATTCAGACTGTCATAATGCTGCACTGACACGGGGTTCAGAGCAGTGAGAGACTGCTTCTGGCTTTTCAAAATAAAACATGTTACAAAAGAACCATCACATAACTGGGGCTGTGAAAAAGTCTTAGGATATGTCCCTCTATTATCCGTCATTTTTAATAATCTGAGTTTTAAACAAATGTATGTGTGTGCATTTATTTGATGAACCACTAGATGTACTTTAATCAAACTTCCAAAAATTAATTTGGGCCTTTAACAATAAATTCAATTTTTGAACATCACATCGGTCAAAAATAAAATCTGCAGATCTGATTTTTTTTCTAATTCTTGTTAAGACTAGATCAGAATGTGTTTTAAATAAAATAAGTAGATGTCCAAACTTCTAATAGGATGGGAAATATAAGTTCTGCCTCATTAAATGAAGTAATTTATGAATCTGCTGCTTTGTTGAAAGAGTCTGTTGAACTTTGACCTTTCTATATTATGTCATAATTATGGAGTCAGCTCTTGGATGAAGTCAAAATGTAAACATCCCTCTCATCTGTTTGAAATATGAGTGATTCCACCTCTGCTTCACACACACATGCACACACGCATGCACACACACATGCACACATGCATGCACACACACATGCACACATGCATGCACACACGCATGAACACACGCATGCACACATGCATGCACACACATGCACACATACATGCACACACACACACACAAATCTGAATAGACTTGCATAAATTCCTTCTCTAGCTCTTCAGTTTTGACTTTTCGTTGCTCGTTGTGAGCTGAGATAAGGGAGGGGAGTAAAAGTTGTCTTCATATCTGACCCATCTGCTCATTTCCTGCACAGCTTCAGCTTGGAAGTGAGCCAAAAGTAACAGGTGATCTGTAATCCTGCGTTATTTTTTTTTCCTTACTGTATTTGTGTCTGCATGAGTTCAGCGCCGTGCGTCTCTTTGATTGTTCGGAGCGCTCTGTACTTGAGTCTGCGTTTGACAGCTAACACTCTGGTGAAAGACAGACACAGGAAGTGGGTTGTGTGTGGTGGAGACAGTTCACAGGAGGGCCTGTCTGGCAGCCTCTGCTCCTCTTTCAAATCCCTTTAACATGATCAGAGCTGGGCCTCCCCCTCCCCTCCTCCCTCCTCTCACCCCGCTCTCACCCTTCTTACCTGCTTCTCAGTAACTGCTACATGAACTCCACCGCAGCTCAGAGCAGCCTGATGAATATATTTCTAGAGATAGCTCTCCTCCCCCTTAAGTAAACAGAGAATCTCTTGATTCTCTCCCACCACCGTGTCTGCCCTCTAATGCCAGTGTGTGTGTGTGTGTGTGTGTGTGTGTGTGTGTGTGTGTGTGTGTGTGTGTGTGTGTGTGTGTTGGAGTCATGTGTTTATCGTTGCGTGAAAGGTGCTCCCTGTTCTGCACTCTCTCTCTACTGAGACATGAAGTTCATGTCCCCGATCACAGCTGATGTGTGTGTCGGTGGAGTTTTACAGTCAAATGCAGGAAAGAACCTGCAGGTTTAACTCAAACAAAAAACTTTTATTGTCAAAATGAGAAAATATTCTAAAGAAAATGCTGTTCTCAAATCTGTGGATGGCAAAAACTGGAAAAATTTGGCGAAAACTCTCTGGCCTCAGCTGTTCCTTTCCAGCACACTATTGCAGGGTTATGCTGCCACCTGCTGGCAACACACAAGTCTGCATGTCTGATTACAGGGATTTCTGCTGCTTCATGTATTTGATAAATTGTGTGGGGGCAAAAAAAAAAATCAAGCTAACTTGAATTGCACACTCCTAAAATGGGCTTTTGGTAACAATAAATGAGTAACATTGATTAAAAATGCTTATTCAACTATGTAAAATCATATAAAACATACAAATAATATTAAAAATGACAACATAAAAGAGTGGAAATTATTCATGAAAACACAGCTGGCCCGTTTTAAAGTTAGTTCACTTTATTTTGAACATTTTTTTTACCAGGTTATTAATATCTAATGATGGCTAACTTGTCTTTATGTGGCTAAATGATCCCGCTGTCTTAAAACAGCTAAAGTTAACCCTCCACATTAAACATCTGTTATTGCTAGAGTGAGTCGGTGATGGTGAGTTTTATTGATGCTTGTTAATGATCAAATGAACAAATATCCAAAGAAAGCAAACACAATTTTGGACTCCAAACACGTTGATCTTCAACTTGATGGATTCTGATCACCTTGTGCTAATAATTTAGAATTTTCAACAAAATCCTTAATAGTCTTTGGATTTTGTGATGAATTAAACTCAAGAGGAGATCCTCAAAAATGCAGAGTCTAACAGCCTCTGGGAAGAAGGCGGGGCCTAAGGATGCTCAGTGACCTGCCTGAAGGAAGGAGGGTGAATGGGCTGGATGGGTCACATCCATCCATCTTTGCTCTGGTTATACATGTCATTTTGAGAAGCAAGGCTGTTATTGGGTATTTTCTTAGCAGACCAAACCTTTCTCAGTCTTTAGAAAGATAAACACGATCAGCATTTCCCCAAATATCACCTCTAAATTACAAAACAGTACACACTGACCTGTTGAATGTATTAGAAACGTTGTTCCTGGTCACCTACGCGACCTTCAGCCTCTTCCCTTTGAATAATGATTAATTAGTTTATAATCTGGGACTTTGGAACGCAGTGATGTGTGTTGTGAGGTTGTGGTCATCAGAAAGTTATAATCCTTTAACAGTTCTATAGTTCTGTGTTCCGTTCTTCCTACAGCTCCATGTCCCCGTTCAGTATTGACAGCATACGTCGCCCCCGGAGGTCAGAGTCACCGGATTCAAAAAAGAGGAGAATCCACAGATGTGACTTCGAGGGCTGCAATAAAGTGTACACCAAAAGCTCCCATTTAAAAGCACACCGGAGGACGCACACAGGTCAGTGCCTCTGCTTATACTCCGTCACCTCATCTATCTGGAAGCCTGACTTCTGTTTTACCATCAGAATCTTGTAGTTTTGCTCGTGAGAGCCAGAACTCAATCTGCAAATACGCAACTTAGGTAATAAAATTAGACCCTCGTGAATGGCTAATAAATAGTTTATACAAGTGTTATTAATTATGCACAGCCTGTGCACAGCCTGGATTGATTACCAGAAAGCCTATGACTTCAAGAGCAAATTGCAGGTATTTTTTTTCTAATTCATATAAAAAATACTATTTGAAATGCTTATTGTGCATATTTGGTTTTAAAACAGCAGTTTTCTAGTTTAAAAAGTGTCCTTTCTCAGCAAAGCTTCTAAAAAGGCTCTTTTTTTCTAAATCTGAACCTCTGACGTAACTAAAAGGAGTTAGAAGCTAGGCGCTGCCTCAGCTCAGTGTGGGGAGTGGCTAGTTTTAGGGTAGAGAGGTCATGTTATCCAGTCAGTGTGTGTTTACTAGTTCTGGATTGTGTTCATGTTGATAAACTAGAGTGTATGAAGGCTGTACCAACTCCAGCCTGTCTGGACATCAAGTCCACGGGTTTCCGGATGAGAGAAACAATGCCTCTATCTCCGTGCCTGAGGGCGTTTCTGCAGCTGAAAGACGGACTTCTGTAGCCCATATCGGTCGGTACCGGGACAGGGAGGTCTGCGCTGGGCTCCGGAGACCCGTGGTGGGGTTAAAAAAATGAAATGTGGATTTCTGGAGCTCAGATCACCATCAGAACCAGGTCAGAACCGACCACCAGAAGAGATGCGCTGCTCAGCGGGCCAGTTGTTTTCCGGGTCGGAACCGGATCAGAACCGCCGCCCGGACAACCAGGAGAGGATCATGTGCAGCTTTTAAAAACACCAACTGGACTGGCTCGCTGGTGTCTGGGTCGGATCCAACTCACAGAAGCCCGCAAGAGCTCCAGAACCGGAAGCTCTCCCTGTCTCTAAAGCACTAAACTATGTTAGGTGAACGGATATTAACGAGTATGAGACCGCTGACAGACGCTCATTAGTATTAATATTAGATTAACTGACTGATACCATTTTAATTGTCTGGTACATGATAGTAATCTGTACTATATTGTGATGTTAGCACACGAGTTTAAGCTAACATGGTTAACTCACCAGACACCTGCTGCTCCCCCGCTGCTTTGGCCGATCGTTTCTCCCTCTGGTTTGTCTCTGCTCTCTGGGGCGTGCAGCAAACATAACTTTATGGTTTTGGTCCATTAGAAGTAGAATTACAAACATTTAAAGTTTCCTCTGTGTCAGAGCCACATTAGAGTCCATATTTTTCTCTGGATTAAGCTAACAGGACTCCCTCAGCTGACATCACTTGGTTTGGCAAAAAAATAAATAAAAAAATTAAAAAACTTTCTAAAAACCTTTTAAAGTGAGTTTCTATTATGTTTCTCTAAACATTGGTTTGCGGGAGTCTCTAACCTGCAATCTGCTCTTTAAAGGAACACTTTACAACTTTTTCAGTTTTTCATATTTTGAAATCGTTTTCTTGAGCCAGTATGAGCTAAAATGACCCTTCTCAGGGTTAATGAAAGGACATTCAGCCCCTATTGCCCCCGTGGACATTGAGGACAGCTACAAGTACCTCGGTATCCCACAAGCAAAAGACAACCTTGATGAGGCCACAAGGAAAATAAGCACGTAGCCAAATGCCTACAAAGAGTAAGGCAAGTCCTCTGAAGTCAGCTCAATGGCAAGAACAAGATTCGGGCAATCAACAGGTATGCCATGCCAGTAATTAGATATCCTGCAGGAATAATAAGCTGGCCAAAGGAAGAAATACAGACAAATATAGATGTTTAGACATGGAAGCTCCTAACCATGCACGGAGGGGTTCCATCCCAAATCCAGCACCCTGAGACTGTACACAAGCCGTAAGGGAGGAGGCAGAGGACTAGTGAGTGTGAGAGCCGCTGTCCAGGATAAAACATTTAAGATCCATAAGTACATCAAAGATAAGGCCCAACAGATGACATGCTCAGTGAATGTTTCAGATATTGGCAAACAGAGGAGGAGACGTTGGCAGTTGGCAATACCATCATGGGAGGCCAAACCCCTGACAGATAACTCAAGAAATCCATGGTGGTCTGAAGGACAGCACAGAGGCACTCATCCTGACAGCACAGGAACAGACCCTGAACACCAGAGCAACATAGCAACTGAGACAGTCCACCACATAACTGCAGGGCGTAAGATGCTGGCAGGAATGCCACAACCAAGAGGCTGGCACAGTGTGCAGCAGGAATATTCAATTCCAGGCCTGGAGGGCCGGAATCCAGCACGTTTCAGTTTTAACCCTGCTTCAACACACCTGATATCAATCAGGAGGTAATAACAGGCTTCTGCAGAGCCGGATGAGCTGCTGCACAGGTGATTCACACTTAATCAAGTGTGTAGGAGCAGAGAAACCACTAAAACGTGCTGGATACCAGCCCTCCAGCACTGGAATTGAAAATCCTTCGTGTACAGAAACACGTTTAACGATTTATCAATACCTTCATTAACACATATGAGTAAAGTAAAACGATCTCATCACAACATAAATAAGCACATTCATATGTATGTTACATAAACGATGATAAATGTAGACTCAAAGTTTCTGTTGTCACGGTAACGTATAAACAGTCCTTTACAGCCTGATTTTCACCGCTAGTACCTTCCCAAGAAGACATATAGACTTCAAATATTGTAATAAAACGTGATAGAAAATGCGTTTTTCCAGCTGGGCAAATTTAAACTGGGATAAAAGCAGGGTAAAAAGAGATAAAAAATAGTGTGCCCTTGTCAGGATTCAAACCCGGTGGTAGAGGGGTAGGGCCCGACCGTAATCTCCTCTCAATCCCTGACCCCTAGCCCACTGCACCAAGCATCAGAGCAATATATATATATATATATATATATATATATATATATATATATATATATATATATGGGCATTTTCTTATATTTAACCTTAATATACCTCACATATTTTCTATTTATTTCTCTAGGCAAGTGTGTTTTTGTCAATCACTTTGGCTCTGCTAATGTAGTATGTGTGATTTTTATGGAAGCTGTGTGTGTTTTTTTTTTTCAGATTTACAAAAAAAGATGTTTCTCTTACTTCATTTAATATGATGGTCAGTGAATAACACCTTCCTCCTTCAAAATATTTTGGGCAACTGACTCTCATGTAAGCTAGATTTTTCTAAAAATGCTAAATATTAGCATACATGTATTTTTTAATATTCTATTCTGGGGTTTTACATCAGTCAGACTGAAATTGTAGGTTTTACTCTTTTCCACCAGGTGGCAATAACTCTAACTATCACTCAAACCCTCAAAAAATGTAAGATTTTGAAGTCTTGAGGTGTTAATAAAGGCTTTATTGAAAAGAAAAGAAAAGAAAAGAAAAGAAAAACAAAAGAACATTTCTCTCAGAAAGGATCATGCTGTTTTAAACCTCTGAGAGCAAAGGTAGACACAATACATATCAAATATTACTGTTGGCACTATCAAGTCGTAGTTTTATCTTAAAGTTGAATTATTTTCATCAGCCTGTCTTTGTACCCGGAAATGAAACGCTTTGTTTGAGTCAAATCCCATCTCCACCCAATCATATATGGATGCAGAGGAGACCTCAGATTCACGCCGACTGCAGGTTCACGCTTACACACACGTAGACACACACACACACATGTAGACACACACACACACATACGCCATATATACCAAGTAGTGTTTCTATGCCTACATTATGATTTCTTAGTAGATGTTCCATTTAGTAAGAGAAACTTTATTGTTTTAATCTTAGAGAAGCTATTAAAGAGTCAACAAGTGAACAATCGCCTCAGTTATTTAATGAGAACATGCAGAATTAGCTGGTAGTTGTAGTGTTTCCTTGAGTTTAATCCGTTGCAGCCCGGTGAACGGCTTGGACGCGAGATCTTGGTGATGCCGCAACATGTGGTTCTTGAGATTGGTTGTATTTCTGCAATATTTCACCTCCATCCGGCATGCCTTGTAAATCACTTTGCTTTTATCAAGCTGGCCTTTAGTTCTGCAGTCAAAATGCTGCCACAGCGCAAGCTATGAAGCGGTTACACTGCCCCCTGCTGGTAGCTCCCTGCAACTACAGCATAAAAGTTAGTGCTGCATTGTGACCTTTAAAACATGTTTAAAGATGTATCAACACCTTCATTAACAAACATTAGTAAAGTAAAACAATCTTACCACAACATAAATGAGCACATTCATATGTATGTCACATAAACGAAGATAAATGTGCAGAGCATGGACTGGAACACCCCTTACGCTCCTGTGGGATTTCCAGATCCAGACAAACAAAATGGTGATGGCGAACCAACCGGACATTGTGGTGGTGGACAAACAACAGAAGACAGCTGCTGTGGTTGACGTGGCAATACCAAGTGATGGAATCATCAGGTCAAAGAAACACGAGAAACTAGAGAAGTACCAGAGCCTCAAAGAAGAACTTAAGAAAACCTGGAGAGTGAAGACATTGGTGGTGCCCGTGATCATCAGGGCAGTCGGGGAAGTAACCCCCCAGACTTGAGGAGTAGCTAAAGCAGGTCCCAGGAAAAACATCTGACATCTCAGCCCAGAAAAGTGCAGTTCTGGGAACAGCTAAGATACTGCAGAACCCTCAGTCTGCCAAGCCTCTGGTAGAGGACTAAAACTACATGGTGCATCTTTACAATAAGACTCTTTTGTTGTTTCTAAATGTGTAATAGTCATCATACAATAGTGTTGTGTTACAGATGAATAAATAACATATATATAGATTATCTATTAGCCATTTATGGGGGGGGGGGGGGGGGGGGCGTTATTGTGAAGTGGTTTCAAAATGTCTTTATTTCATGTTGTAAATAGTTTCCTGAGCAGCCTCAGTTTGAAGAAATAGAGTTTACATCTTACAAGACTGGTGAGCTAACGGCTAGTTGAATGCAGCAATCTTAAAAAAGCTCCAAAATTTCACTTTTTTCATTACTGTGAAGATTAAGGACTGGAAAAAAATAGGTGTATCTATAGACTGCATTGATGACCTGCCATTAACATCTGATTTATTAAGAACCAGTGACCGTACTGAAGATGTGTCTCTTGTCTGCCCCTTCAGGGGAAAAGCCATACAAATGCACCTGGGACGGTTGCACCTGGAAGTTCGCCCGCTCCGACGAGCTGACGAGGCATTACAGGAAACACACGGGGGTGAAGCCCTTCAAATGTGCAGACTGTGACCGCAGCTTCTCCAGATCTGACCACTTGGCCCTACACCGACGGAGACACATGCTGGTGTGAATCAGAACTACGGATATCAGTGGAGAGAGGCCACCAACTCGCGCATACACACACACACACACATGCACGCACACACACATGCATGCACGCACAGGCAGCCAAGGGAGCGGGATCTCCCTTTGAATGTTCTTCAGCTGGCCTAGAAGCCTCACACACACACACACACACACACACACACACACACACACACACACACACACACACACACACACACACACACACACACACACACACACACACACACACACACACACACACACACACACACACACACACCGAACCTGGGTCATGAGGATGATGGAGAGCCAGATTGGACAATGGTGCACAAAACAGGGTGATTTCTGGATCTTCTTTGGGTCAGAAGAAAGCAATGACGGGATGTTGGAATGCCATTGAAGTAAAATAGGGAACTGTCTTTAAGCAGCACTGTTTATTAATGTTTCACTTTGATTTTTAAGATGAAGTCACACTCTTTATTTGAACAATCTATACACACATATATATAGAAACGTATATATGTTTGCATCTTTCTTTTCAGTCCCATTTAAACAGCTGGTGTTACAGCATTCATAATGTGAACGATCCCCGTGAAAAGAAGAGAGAGCAGGAAGCAGTTCCAGGTGGACGGATTTACAGACAGTATTGTTTTTGCTTTGCCTCCCTGTTACTTTGAAGTATGACCAGAAGAGGGCGCCGCTTCACTACAAATGGTTTTTAGTCTGACGTCAGACCATGAGGAGCCAGCAAAGTGTAAAATACATCCGCTCAAACAGCTACAGCCCGAAAGGATCAACCTTGTCGCCACATCCAAAACCTCATCTATCGTTTGTGTCCCAACAGGAACTCGACTCGCATGTCGTCACACCAGCAGACACCACACACGCACACTGGACAAGCCCATAACCCATCAGTGCTATTCTTCATGTTGAGCCTCTTGGAAAAGTTCTTTTGTAACAAAGAAAAACAACAAAAAAATACATTATTTTGTGGATTTTGAGCTGTGATTAGCAATCAGTAAAGTGCAATCTTAAATGATATATAAATATATATATATATATATATATATATATATATATATATATACTTTCAGTATGAAAATGTTTTGTTTATGACATCTTGCTTTTTCTTTTCCCCTTTTTTAACTGCCTGCTCACTGCTTATGTTTAAAAAATACAACCCCTCATGTACGGCAAACTTTGAAACAATTGGAGATTTCCATTAGGTGAAAATGATAAGTTACAAAAACAACAGAGGCACCTTAGAAACATTCATTATGTCCTTTAATTACTCTTGATTGGTTAATTCAAGATGTTCTGTGTTTCACTTTTTTCATTTTCATTTTATTGCTTTTTTGAGCAAGGCACAGCGCCACCTGCCAGACACCAGCTGGAAGTGCTACAAAGACGATTTTTGTGTGCAAAAGAGCAAGGGGCCTCCTCCTTGTTCTGATTTGTTGATGTCAAAACCGGAGAAGCTTGTCCTCACTTGGCCTCCTGACTCCCTCTGTTCTTTCTGTCTGGTCGAAAATGAAAGCTGGTGTCTCAAATGGTCATTTAACTCCCATTTAATATGATTAGGGCTAATTTTCTAACACACTTGAAACATCTAAATTTAGGATAAAAATTGGAGATTTGGGTGATGCTGAAAGACTCAGGACACAACAACTAAATGTATGTTTTCCCTTCCGGATTTCTTCTGTTTCGCTTGTTTTTGAGTCATGCTCTTCATGTAAATGTGTCCACAAGACTTTAAAATGATTCTCTGTGGACTGATTAAGAAGGTGTGTGTCTAAATATATCTGGTGTGAAGCTAACACTCAAGCATGGTGGGGGCAGGTTGATGGTCTGCTCCTGAAGAACTCTCAACCTTTACCCTAAAAACCGGTTATAACCTAGTATATGTTTCGCTTAAAAATGTGGTTTGATAAATTTTTCTGATAATAACAGTCACTTTTTATGCACGCTAAACATGAAAAAAGTCTTCTACGCCTGTCTCCTGCATTAGCTTCTCATTGAAAATAGATGGTGAAACTCTAAGATGGAAAAGTCTGACAGATTTACGTCAACAGTCTCTTGGACTCACCCATTCTGACTCACGATAGGGAAGGCTGTTGTTAGATTAGCATCCAGGATCGGCAGAGAACATCTCGGCTAACAGAAGCTACCCATTAGCATTAGCAACTCAACCACATGGCAGAAGCTCCTCCAGGCTTGTGTTATCCATGGAGATAAAACATCAGTGTTGCAGAGCAAACAGAATCAGTGGTAGAGTCACATTGCTGTTATCGAATCCATGGCAAGATGTCCAAATATCAGGAAATGAGACAAAATCCTGCCGAGTTAAGCTCTCCTCTGATGTGGCAGACTTGTCCGTGCTGATGCAGGCGTTTCTAGGCTTTTATTTAACCCTGAGTACGGCTTACAAGGCATTCATTTCTACCAGAAACCACTGCAAATGTATTGAATACATGAGTTCCCCCCACCTTTAATAGATCCTTTTGAAAACGAAATGTTGCATTTGTCCAATATTGAAATTTGCGGATTAAAGTGACTTAATCAATCAATCAATCAATCAATCAATCAATCAATCAATCAACATTGTTTATTTGGGTAATTTAAAGATAAGATAAGAAAAATAACACAATAATACAAGGATTACAAGTAGAATAACCAAAAGGTATAGGCTGAAGTCTAGCTTTTTATGCCTAACCTATTTACTAAATCAATTTTATACTCAGAATGATAGAAAAAAATGAAACAAAAACATTTGTAAATTGTTATAATAATAATAATAATAATAATAATAATAATAATAATAATAATGAATGACATCTAAAATAAGCAAATTAAAAGCAAAAACAGAAGAAATCTGTAAGATGGGGAAGACTTATTTTTTTTACAGAAGTAAAACGGGTTTCAAACCACCTCCACCGTCTATATTATATATCCACAGGAAGGTTTTATTTAGACTTTTTGGCACAGACAACACACGGAAAGCATCACTTAACCTCAATCAGGGAATTCAATTAAAAGAAGTATATCTTTATAGTCCTAATAACTGACTTTTTTGCAAGTGTTTCCAGTGCTCTTAATGCCGCGTAAAAGCTCCGAAGTCTAAACATCAAACCAGACGATGTTATTTGATAAGTGCTGCCAAATGCAGTTATTGGATGGAAGCCAGTAAAAAGAAAACCTTTTCAATGAAGGTACCTTGAAATCCGTATGCTCATAAACTATTACACACACTCACCTGCACGCTTCAACACTTTCCAGTAAGGTAGCCAAATCCAGGAAGCAGTTTCCACACATACACACAGTGTGTGTTTGTGTGTGTGTAGGAGGCACCCCCACCTTTGTTTTCATAAATTGGACAAGATGATATTTATGTTTATCCTTCATGCACATGTCATATTGCCCAGTTGTATTATCCTTTTGGCAAAAGCAATCAGCACCTTGATTATTATTATTATTATGATTATGATTATTATTATTGGTCTGATCTTCAAAAGATTTATTTGTCAAAGTTTATAACAAATATTCATCATATTTTATTATCCTTATTTAGGACGTTTTATGATTGCGGGGCGCTCATGTACAACTTTCTTTATCTTCTGTAAAAAATGTTCTTAAATGTTGTAATATATGTGACAGTGAAGGTAAAACGCTATTTCAAATTTCTACAGTCTGTAAATATGAAAATACATCGGATAAATAGGGCTTTTGATCTGTAGATGCAGGAAATACGTTTATAAAGTCTTTTCAGAGACTGTAATTTATCTAATTTGATATACCAGTGAAAAGGGGCTACAGGTGTGTAAATGATCATGGTGTTCTTTCATGTTTTCGGTTCATGATCGAGTCATTTTATTATTTTATAAGGCTGAACCAGTGTTTGCTATAATCAACAAATGAATTGTGTACATTGATAAGGTACTCGATTCCCTTTTGCTATTTTATACACCTAAAAATGACAAAGGAAGCACATATCAGCAGCTCGTGTACTCCTGTTCTCAGAGAGGTTGCCTGCCTTAACACACCAGTGTTTAACTAAAACTAATCAATCAGACTTGAAGATGGTGTCTCTACCAGACAGGGTGTATTGTATTTCCCTCCCGCCGCATCCCTCTTCTCATTTTTAGAGCATAATTTTGTTATGGTAACCAGGGTCAAAGTTATGCAATAATAATGAATAGTGCCTCATATCACTCACTTGTAATTTCACCTGCTCTGTGCAGAGTTTCGATTCCAATGTGTGTTGTTCGATTTCAAATAAGAAGCCGGTCATTTTGGAGAAATTTAAAACACAGAAAAAGAAAAAGCACAGAAAACGATATGCAAGTCGGACCTCTTTACGTTTCTCTTCGCACTGAGCCTTATATCATTGTGTCAAATAATGCAGCATCCTCCCATAACTCTTTAAAATGTTTATAGCTCACGCCGTTACTTTGCTTGCAATAAGACACCTCCTCCTGGTCTGAGGGGAACCAGATGGAGTTACAAAAAGCCTCTGGACGTTTCAGATCCAGCACATTGGCTAAACGCAGTGTTTTCATGTAAGATAACGGGGAATCTTAGTCACAGGACACAAAAAAAAGATTGAACAAGTTAGTCCTGTGGTTGGCATTCCAGCAGCGAATCAGCGCCTGTGTTGATTTCTCTCGGTTAAATGAATATTTTACTTTCTGTGTAACATCGGATTTTTGATTTTGCTGGTTTTGACAACTTTAAGTAGTGAAGCCAATGCCTATGTTTCAAGTTTGCTAATATTACGTACAGTAATTGTTGTTTCTGTATTTATGTAAAGTGAGTGTTGTGTAAATATATTCAGATCTTTTCATTCTTATTGTTCGGACAAAAAAAATGTGATATTGCTCAGTTTTCACTTTGAAAAGGGAGATTCTGCTCATGGAGTAAAAAAAAAGTCTGTAAAAGAAATTTTTAAATCTGATATTTTTTAAAACTTCAAGAACAGATGTCCTGTTTCACTTTGATTTCCTCCAAGAGTTGTTTCAGTATCAAGTCAATGTTTTGCTTTTTTTCCTTCTTTCCTCTGTAATTTTCATATGGATGGAGCTGTGAATTTAAAATAAGTTCAAACATATACATGTATATTAATATGAATGGAGGCATGAAGGTTAATAAAGTTGCATTTTGTATGTAACACAATGGGATGGAGCGAGTTGCTGTCTATGATCGGGATGGATGGTATGTGGATTCAGTGTCACACATTTACCCCAACCCACTCTTAGCATCTAGGAGACAGATTTAAATCACAACACATCTAAACACTAGAAATGACTTTAAAAATGGCATTTCCATCAAACACAAAATAGAGTGCATAAAACTGGACCTCCTAAACCTTACAGACACAAATGCATTTGAAGAAAGTACAATATGACTCAAGTGAGTAAATCTTTGAACACAAGTCATATGAGAGACATAAAATATCTGATACTGAAATCCAAAACCAAGTAAAACATTATCAACACATATATACAGTAGTTATATATTCACTTTTTATTTCAGATATTTAAAGCTTGAACATGGAACAATGTAATAAAAAGCTACATTAAAAAATACCTCCACGAGGCATTTTGAGGTGTGTAAACTGAAGGTACAATATTTGCTGTAAAAGCTATATTTAAATAAAAAAATAATCAAATATTTACTTTGACAGGCATGGCACTGGGTTCTTGTTTACATCGACCAGCCAATAGAGGGCACCATCCGCTCCACTCAGTGAGGCTGGCCATGTGGAAATTGGTGCACTCGCAGCTGCTTCTGAGCCCAGATGTTCTAACGTTCAATGCTGTTGTAATATAAACTTGTTACTTCAATTCAGTTTATTTATCTCGCACCAAATCACGACAAGAGTCGTCTGAAGGCGCTTCACACAGCAAACATTGCAATACAGTTCAGTTCGTTAAGCCAATCAGTAAAACGTTTCCTATATAAGGAACCCAGCAAATTGCACTGAGTCACTGGCTGGTATCAGTGACTTACAGCAGTCCTCATACTAAGCAAGCATTTAGCGACAGTGGAGAGGAAAACTCCCTTTTAACAGGAAGAAACCTCCAGAAGATCCTGTAGTGTTTCTATGGCTACACTGTGATCTTTTAGTAGATATTCTATTTACTAAGAGATAAACTTTATTGTTTTAATCAAGTGGATCTGTAAATAATTCAACAAGTGAACCAATCAACACATTCCCGCTCCCCCCTTCTCTTACTCATGAACAAGACTCCGAGATACTTGAACTCTTCCATTTGAGGCAGGGCCTCTCTCCCGACTCGGAGTTAGCAAGTAACCCTTTCCCGGTCGAGAACCATGGTCTCAGATTGGAGGCGCTGATCCTCATCCCAGCCGCTTCACATTTGGCTGCGAACCTCCCCAGCAAGAGCTGCAGGTCAGAGCCTGATGAAGCTAGGGGGACCACATCAACCGCATAAAGCAGAAATGAGATTCTCCTGCCACCAAACTCCACACCCTCAACATCAAACTGCCCAATTATATTCAAGATAAAAAATAAAAATAAAAAATAACTATTGCCGAAAACTGTGCCCTGATTTGTGGTAAGGAATAATCTTATTTGAAAAAAGACGGAACAAAACACCACCAAGAATTAAGCCTTGGGGGACGCCATGTGAAATGTTCACTTTGTCAGAATTCAAATCAGCCAGTTTTTGTGTTTAAACCAATCATGAACAGGACAAGATAATCTCATTTATCTAATCCATCCAACTAAAGATTATTAACAGAGTCAAAAGCAGCACAGAGACCCAGAAAGCTATACAAATATATGTTTATAATCTGTGATTAGATCATTTTTACTAGGCATATAAGTTTACATACTGCATACATGTGGGCTGAATACACTTGTTTAAACAGTGTGATACATTGTTGCTATCTAGCAGGAGCGATGCCTGATATTTACAACCTGGTATGCTCAAACACAACGTGAAGTGAATGCAGCTTCTATGAACAGATTTAACATTTAGAGGAAACACCCTGCACACCCTGTACTGAACTCTATCATGACTGGATTTAGATCAATGTTTTTGTCAGCCACAAAATAATTCAGATGATTACAATCTATTACCAGTCCAGTAAGCATTTCACAGTATAATATTTCACCTGCACCTTTCACCACTTCCTAGAGCTTCTAGGCTTTAAAGAGGGTTGTCCTAATGTGCAGGTAACTTTCTCTGCATCCAAGGCATGCTCAGACATTGCCAGTGGTTTCTGACTTTCTTGGCAGCGTTTGTCGGCTTTTTTCTGAGTCATGTCACAAGCACACCTTATGTGAACTGTAAACAGACTGGGACATCTTGTTTTGTTTGGGCTATTTGCTGTATAACTGTTTCTATTATTAGCGTACCTCTGATAATTATGAAATTTAAGTACAACATAAAAGAACTGGAACAAACTAGATGATCCAACACTGAATCTCGACTGAAATAAGATCATGATATAAACATCTCCTTCAAACTGTTAAATTCTAAAACTTGGATTCTGGAAATAGGAGGGTAAAACACACTCAGATGCGAAAGTTTGTTAATCTTCATGATTTTCCTGTATAAATCGTTGGTTGTTACGAGAACATTTTTCTGTTAAGTATGTCATATAGGATATATGGTCTCCAGAATCTGGTGATAATGAGTGGAATCCATGCATCCCTCTACTTTAACAATGTAGCCTCCGGAAATGGTCTGTTTTTCCATCTACAGGTCAACCTCTTCAGTATTGGGTCACATGGAGACATAAGTCTTAACTGAGGCTTTAATCTGTAAGAAAGATACTGTGCTTGCCCAAGGTCCCTCGCAACCTCCCTCTTATCTAAGACTGTTTTGCTTCACAGACAAGACAGATGAACTTTCATAATTAAATCATATAATGAACAAGATGAGTAAACAATCATATGGTTGAATGAACAATAATGGCTGAAGAATAATAACAATGTTTTGATTAATCTCTGCTTAAATTACTGAAGTTGAAATGAATATTATTATGTTATGATCAGGAAACTTAGATTTAACAAGTGAATCACTATCTACTGACAGCTCAGACACTCAGACATGTGACGATGACAAGGTTAAACTAATATCATGGCACATTGCTTTCTGTTCTACAAATCAGAACTCCTGTATCTGACGCGAGGTGTGTTTTCTGAGGTTTGTTGGTAAAACCCTTTTTACATGTCAAATTCTGATTTGTTAGTAAATCAAAACATGACGATTATTAAAACAGGACTCACTTCACTTATAATGATGTGGCGAGAAGGTTTGTATTGGAATGTTTATTGTGTGAAATGCCTTGAGACGACTCTTGTCGTGATTTGGCACTATACAAATAAACTTGAATTGAACTTGAATTCACCGTGAGTCAGTTCTTGAGAAAGCTTCTGTCCGGCCATCCGGAGCAAATCCTCTTTAACCCAGAGCATCTTTTGACAAGCTGTCAAAAACCTGTTGCATGCTGCAGCTGACCGCAAACGGTTCCTTTAGAACAAATCGGAACCACCTTCGACTCCACAAGAGTCGTTCCATAGACGCAAAAAAACTACCTGTTGTGACATGGAGACATCCCGAGACCTGTTTCGTGGTACTGCGGTTGCTTCTACGGACTTCGGTACCTTTGGGGTCTACGGACTTCCTGACATTCCGGATCTACCAGGGGGGTCTTCGAGCTGGTACGTAGACTCAACAGATTGCGTCTGATGTAGTTTTATAAACCATCAACTTATAGTTTATAGCAGACCAAAATCACTCCCACTCAGAACTCAGTTTCTTCAAATGCGAGAGGTTCTGATAACATCACATTCACACATCATCACACCTCACATTCCATCAACTTAGATTCACTCATCACATGAAGTTTTTCCTAGTTGTCATGTTTTAATTATTTAGAAAATAAATGTCTTACTTTTTATAAACTTGACTCTCTTCTTGAATTAGTATGAAGTGTCTTACAATCCCTGAATAAACAAAGAATTCTAAATCTTCTGGTTAAATATTCAAAGATTAATCAGACTGAATTTCCATATTTATATGGAAATTCACACCTTATTTGTCAAAGTGTAGTATGGTATATTGTGCTTTAAAATCACCCAAAATACATACGTATGCTATTCCTACAACATGATTGCCAGTCCCTCCACTGGCCACACAGCCCATGGCATGATGGAACCACCACACTGTTCTACTGTAGAAAAGTCTTCCCCTGCATCACTCTCACATACAGCACCTCCTTGTGTAAAGTGCGCTGACTAGTTGAACGATGCACAGAGACTCCATCTGCAGCAGGATTATGTTGTAGGTCTTTGGTGCTGGTCTGTGTGTCGACTCTGACTATTCTGACCATTCTTCACTTCTGTTGATCCAAGATTTCTCTTGACCTGCCACTTGGAGCCTTAACTTAAATTGTCCCATTTCCTCAACATGTTTCTTACTGCGGAAACAGACAGCTGAAATCTCTGAGACAGCTTTCTGGATCCTTCCCCTAAACTATGATAGCGAACAATATTTGTTTTCGGCTCATGTGAGAGTTGCTCTGAGACTCCCATGTTGCTCTTCAAAGAATATTCAAAGAGGAGGGAAACTTACAAATGGCCCCCTAAACACTCTTTCTTATTATTGTCACTGAGCTTATCACACCAGTTTTGAGTTCCAATAATTAGTTCTAAATGTTTTGGAATAAATAAAATGACAACAGTGCCCACATGTATGCACCTGCATAATTTCTTTAAACTATTATTGTACACTTTCTGTAAATCCTATAAACGTTGTTTCACTTCTGAAACAAATGTGCCGATTGATGGATCTTTATTCAAAAACGTATTTTATCTATTTGGAAAAAGGATGAAAATATCATTGATCTTTAAGAAGCAACTGTTGAACAACTCAGTCCTGGAAAATGTGTATAAAGCTATTGCCAAACTGTTGGTAGTTTAATGGTTTGAAGTAAATGACTCACTAATGGATAACATATACAATAGTCAGTGGTCTTCTTTGGAGCTCTTCAAAGAAGTCAGACGATGCAATACTTGGAGAAATCATAAAATGTTTGATGTTAAAGTTCTCATAAAAGTCTGGAGAAAATACCTGGAAGAAAACTCTCCTCTTCATAAATGGTGTGATAATATAAGATTTTATATTGACACAGGACAAATATGCTGGAATTTTGCTATTTGAGTGATTGAATCCAAATGCTGCATGTTAATAGAAAAGCACGGCGGTGGAGGGTAGATGATTTGGGCTTGTTCTGCAGCCACTGTATCTTTTTTCATCACAAAGAACCAAAACGTCTTCTAAAGTATTTTAGAGTCCCCCCAAAGCTTGGACCAAACTGGATCATAAACAGGATAATGATCCCAAACTTAGGAGACCTACAATAAAATGACATGGAAACAAATCAAGCTAGCCTGGTTAAATTTCAGATTTCAGTCCACCTAAAATGCTGAGGTGGCTCCAGGGGAAAGCTGTGGATGAATAAATGGCCAAAAATCAGAATGAACTAAACCAGGGATTTAAAATAAATAAACAATAATGAAGTAAATGACTCACTAATGGATAGTTTTCTGTCCCATGCTTTCTGATTTATGAGAACAACAACCACCAGTAAAACACTTATCTATCGGGGCAGCAGTAGCTCAGGTGGTAGAGCGGGTTGCCTCATGATCAGAGGGTCATGGGTTCGATTCCAGCTCCCGCCAGGGGTATCCTGCTGTTGTGTCCTTGGGCAAGACACTTCACCCAACTTGCCTGTGTTAGTGGTGGTCAGAGGGGCCGACGGCGCCAAATGGCAGCCTCGCCTCTGTCAGACCTCCCCAGGGCAGCTGTGGCTACAAGTAGCTTACCATCACTAGCAGTGTGTGAATGTGAGAGTGTGTGAAAGCGTCTTTGGGTGTCTAGAAAAGCGCTATGCAAGTTCAATGCATTATTATAATGTAAACGTACAGTGCTGCTGCTGGGGCTTTTATAAGCTGTTGACTTATAAGGTGTGTTTATATTATTTGCATCATGGCTTAGTTTTTGATAAATAATGACACATTCAATTTGCTGTGGGTAGTTTTTTATTCTTAGTTAAAATTCCCTAATTTCATGACAAGGACTGAAAAAACACATCTTTAAAATGTTCCAAACCTTCAATTATAAACATTTTATTTTGCACGTTCACCTTTTCAGTGGGCAGTGAGACAAATAATTCAATACCAAGGCATGAAGTTTTCTGTCCGATGCTTTCTGATTTATGAGAACAACAACCACCAGTAAAACGTTTATCTGATTATTTCCCCATCAAACAGGTCACTGAAACTGTGCCATTCAGTGTGTGTGTGTGCGTGTGTGTATTTTTTCACTTGTAATATTTGGCATCCTGTTGTAAGTTACAAAATATAGAAATGAAAATACAGAAAGTATAAAAAAATATTTTTTTTAACTTTGTAGAAAATATAGAAAATTTATTTAAAAAATTCCTGCATGTAAAAACAAAAGGTCTCATTTTTTCTTGTATTTGTATTATTTCATCTATAAATAAAACAAAGAAAATAGCTCAGATTTAAAGTTTTAAATTAGGTTTCAATGCTTGCTAAAAAAATAACTTTGAAGTTTTAGCTCATTAAAATCAATATGAGCTAATAATGTTTGCAAAACGCCTGAAATAAAAGAGAACAAGGCTTTAGATGTTGATGCACCAGCTATGGTGACAGACGTTAGATGTTAAGAGAACATTTAGTGGGCTGTTGAAAATAAAAATATCCTCAAATCCCAAAATAGTTATTTTATTATCCAGATATGAGTAAATATAATTCCCTCTGACCCATTCCCTAAAACCCAATTTTCCTTCCACTTATACATGCAGCTTCAATTTTAATCATAAATAAATATTAAATTTCACAAAGCTGATATAATCTGCATAGTAAAAAAATGGGATATAAAGTCAAAATTGTTTTAATAAAGCATGTTATCAAAATAAAGGCGTACAAAGCATCAGATTCTTACATTTGACAAATGAATTTTAACTCTTTAACTACTTTCAGCCTCACTGTGATGAGATGTAATGTAAGAAATCTTTTCAAAATAAAAGTGAGAATTAGTGGTGGGCCAGCACTCCTGAGAAGATCTTAAATAAAGACTAAATGATAAAAAAAGTAAACGCCTTTCTCTCAGTGCTTTGTCCACTTTAGAAGAAAAAAGGTAAGTGTTTTTTTTAGAGGCGTCTCTAGCTCTGGTGCCTCTTCATGTGCAGGGCCAGGTGGTCCGAGCGGGAGAAGCAGCGACTACACACTCCACACTGGAATGGCTTTGCTCCGGTGTGCTTCCTGAAGTGACGTGTCAGCTCATCAGAACGAGTGAAGCACCAATCGCAGCCCTCCCAGGAGCACTTGTAGGGCTTCTCTCCTTTCAGCAGAGAAAAAAAAAATCAAGTTACAACCAAAACAAACACACACAACTTTCTAGAAACGTGAAGTACGTAATAAAAGTTGTTAATTCATGTCACAAATAATAAGAAACTTAGTGACATCATGTCTCATCTGGGAGCCGTAAATCACTCAATGTCCCATCTTCTCCTTTAGCTGGAGCTTCAGGCTTTTTGTGATTTTACGTCAGCAAGATGTGGGCCAAACATCTGCGAGCCAACTTCACATCTCTGCAGGGCAACCTCACCATCAGCCCCAAAGAAAGAAGCCAGTAACTTACCTGTGTGGGTCCGTTGGTGAGCTTTCAGATGAGATGACTTGGTGTAAACTTTCTTGCACCCTGAAATAAAAAAAGAACTCATTCATTTTGCAAATGAATGTTTAAAAAGAAACAGTCTAGCTTTATATGATCACCCCTTCTCACCTGGGACGTTACAGTGGTGAATTCGACGTTTTTCCAGATCGGGATTATTCCTCCGGTTGTATTTAACCGGAGCTGACCGGATCAACCCTGGAGAGGGAGGACCAACATGTGTTCTCTGAGCTTTTGTCAGGCTCGACTGTTGGGTTGCCCCAGAAGTCGGACTTTGAAGGAACCCAGTGGAGTAATTTTGGTCTTGATTTGCTGGCCTGTTGGTCTGTCCTGGATCGGTGGAGGTTTGGAACTTGGAAGCGATGCTGGCTTCATACGAAGGAGGTGGGGAGAGTTTATGAAGGAGCTCCTTGCTTCTGTCTGGACTTGAAGGTTCAGAGTTTGGTGGAGAGGGTGGCCAGTAAGTAGGTCTAACCTCATGACCCAAGCGTTGGTTTAAATGTAAACATTCAGCATGCAACCTGCTTGCAGGTTTTGCAGAATTCTGCACTGGACCTTGAACAGGAAAACCAAACTTGGTCACAGGGCCGGGGTTCACCTGCGATTCGTGAGTGAGCTGATCCAAATCAGTGTTCAAAAGCTGAAACATGGTAACATCCTGAAGGTCTGGCACTTCCTGTTTGATGAAAAACGCGCCGTCCTGAGAGTCTGCTGCTTTAAATACACCTGAGTATTCTGCTGGAGGTGGTACTCCGCCCCCTAGGCAGGCTGGGAGCGTCAGGGAGAGTGATGGCTCTGTTTTGATTTGTGTCACAGCTGTGCAGGGGCCCGTGGGGTGCAAGCACGTGACATCAGGAAGGAACAGGTTCATGTTGACACTGTAAGGCGAGGCGAAGTCTTCGGTGAAAGGCGGCTCCGGAGTGAAGCTGCACAACATTTTGGAATTTACAACATCCTGTAGGTGCGGACACAAGTAGCTGTCCATCTCTGATGTAGCCTGGGAGAGCAGAGCAGAGGGGAAATGAACAGGCTGGGTGTAGATACAAACAAATTAGGTTTGAATGTAGATTTAAAACAAGAGCTGGGCTCATCCACAAGATTTCTGACTTTAGAGAGAATAGAGAGCATAAATCTGTCTGAAAAAGCAAGCAGACTCCTTCTCTTCCTCTGTTGCAAGCCCTTGTGCTGTTTGGGAATGCATGGATGAAATTATAATCTGCACCCATGCATCCTTCTATAAATTTCAGGGATTAGGTGCACATACCAACCTTATTCCGTAATGCAGACAGTAAATCTGAGTGAGCACCAAATCTCGGAGGCAACACTCTTAAATCAGCAAGAATGAAGACGTTTTCCTCGGATCTTTCACTAAAACCTGTGAGTCAGAGAGGTTTGAACATGCATCCATCACCTACCAGACTGGATGCATCCCTCCTGTCATAGAGCACTTGTCCCGGACCCTCCCCGCCTCCCAGGCCGTCGCCGGTAGGGGTCTTCTGAAGAAACTGCGCGTCTTGCTCCGGAGCAACCCAAGCAGCAGTCCTCACAGTGGCCATAAACGCAGAGATTTCCCCTAAACGTTCACGAATAAGTCCAGCAGATGAGGAATTCCTTGCTTCCTTTGGCAACAAGCTGCACGAGCGAGCAGCTGTCAGGCGCTCATTCTCCGCTGTTTTGCGCTGGCTTGTCAAATTACGCATCTGCGTGATATCAGCGCGCCTGCAGGGCGGGGCCGAACCAAACAAACCGGGCAAACACCTAATGGAAGAAAGAAAGACCGTGGGTGTGTAAATGCTTCAAAATAAACCGAACATGTTGCCAAGTGTGTGTTTTTAAGGATGAGTCACAAATTAAATCCTGGTCAGATTTGGGCTATCTGGATTATTTTAAAAAGCATCTTTATATATTTTATAGAATCGTAAATGATCAGAAATCTAACGTCTATTAAATTTCACATATTATTTAAACACACTGTGACTTCCCTTCCCTTGGTGCGGCGTTAGAAACGCCTGGCTGCTGCAGCTCTGTCTGGACTTCCTTGATGCCAACATTCCTGCAGCTCAACATCAAACACACTGTGCTTCATTTTTACATGCAGCAGGTACAACCTGCGCCTGCGGTTATTTTAACGTTCTCTGTAAGTAGGCCAGACAGCTTTCCTCTTTAAAATCAGATATAAACGTTGGATCTGTCTTTAAAAATAGTTTCTCACCATTTTCTTTCTAAACTATTGTGTTAAAACTTTGTGCAGGAATGTTGGGCAACAGAAGCAATGTCAAACAACGTTTAGTTTATGTATGAGTGAAATCTCAGTGTGTGTGTGTGTGTGTGTGTGTGTGTGTGTGTGTGTGTGTGTGTGTGTGTGTGTGTGTGTGTGTGTGTGTGTGTGTGTGTGTGTGTGTGTGTGTGAGAGAGAGCTTTTTTCAGGTGACATTTACACTGACACTCCCATCACTTGCTCCTCCAGGCCGTTCTTGTCCTCTTTCAAAGTGCTGTAACTACACCCATTCAGAGCCTGACTGAACACGTTCTGGACTGGAGTTTCACAGGAGTCATTTCAGGTCACAGGCATGAACGTAATTAGGAAATAAAAATAATAATAATGACAATTTAGAAAATGACATTTCATTTGTTGGATTTGCTAAACTTCACAGTAACTGAGCTTTTTGTTTTGTATTTAAGGTCAGTTATTATTTATAGCTTAAAAGTTCATGTTTTTTTAGAATAAACAATGAATGAATAATAAATAAATACAATAAATTGTATAAAATGACTTATATGTTTCTGCCGAAATACCACCGTGGGGTGGCTTGGCTCTCTTAGAGATAAGGTGAGAAGTTCGGTTATCCGGGAGGGGCTCGGAGTAGACCCGCTGCTCCTCCACTTTGAGAGGGGCCGGTTGAGGTGGCTCGGACATCTAGTTAGGATGCCTCCAGGACACCTCCCTGGTGAGGTTTTCCGGGCACGTCCAACCGGGAAAGGAAGACCCAGGACACGTTGGAGATACTGTCTCACAGCTGGCCAGGGGAACGCCTTAAGATTCACCCGGAAGAGCTGGTCCAAGTGGGTGGGGAGAGGGAAGTCTGGGCCTCTCTGCTTATGGCCCGACCCCGGATAAGCAGCCAGAAATTAATGGATGGATGACTTATATGTTTTCATTTGTGCATCGGTATTTTTTTCTGTTCCCATATATAAATGTTTGTTTTATATTTTATATTTTTGCTGATATGAATTATTTTATTTATTTTCTATAATAAAAGCCATAAATTCTAATTAAATGTGAATTCATTTCGTGGCTAATTTGATCACATTTTTACATGAACTATTGAATTTTATTATTTAATTATAAAACTACGTAATAATGATTACAATGGATAAATTGGCACTTGTCATACTAAAGCAGAAAACAGCAGACAAGGATTTGATTCGTCATGTTTCTGGGGAACGAACTAATCCTGCTACAGAGCTCTTAAAGTGAGATTACTGAGGAATATCAAACATTGTGCTTTTGGATTTAGCTCCACAGAATAAAATGTTTAAGATTATTGTTAGGAATTAGTTTTATAATCATAACTTTTAAGTCTTTCTATTTTAATTAAACTGAATATTAAATCTGATCCTTGCAGCACTTCCTGTAATGCTGCCCCGCTTGGCCTTCAGATTAAAAGCACCACTCCGGATCACTCAGTTATAGCAGAAGCTTTTTAGATTTCTTTTATGTGGCTTTTTTCTTTTCTCTACAACGACTAGCACCAACCTTCACACGTTTCTCTCATTAAGTTTTCTCTTGGCAACACATCCTGGAAGCACCTTAACAGTTTTATGACTGTGAAGCTTCTGGCATCTGTTGAGACTGGGGTTTCCAGACTTTTATCGCTTAGCGTTTCAGCATTTAAACTTTTGTACTTTAATGTTGGCAGTTAGTTTTGTCAATAAGGGAAAGAAAAGCAGACTTGACTTTTGAAGGAGAACCTTTATTCAACGGTAAATGTAAAGGGAAATGTTAAAATTTTAAATGTTATTTCTGAATATTTCCAAAAGTGTGTTTTAAAAGGAAGATTTCCAGTTCTCGCAGCTCTGCAAAACAAAATTTCACCAGGAAAATGTTCATATAAGGATAGAAAACCAAACAATGAGAAACATTAAAGAAATCAGATCCACTCTGACAGTTGATCAGCCAGATGGGAAGTGACTGACTGCCTGTCATGGGCTGACCTTTCAAAGAGCAATTTAAAGCCACAAACGTCCCGACTCCAAGAGGAGCAACTGACATTCTTGGCCGTGGATCTTCTTGTATGGCAAATGGGACACACACACACACACACACACACACACACACACACACACACACACACACACACACACACACACACACACACACACACACACACACACACACACACACACACACACACACACACACACACACACACAGTCAACCCCACAATATGTCCAACAACTGTGCAGCAAATAGAGAATGCACGGCATGTGCTGCTAGTGACACTAATGTAATCGAGCCAAAATCAAGGCAGGACAATAAAGAAGGGCCAACTGGCTGATTTAAAATAGAAAATAATTTTATTTTTACAAAGTTGTTGTCGTTTGACCAGAAAATTAGATTTGTTCTTTGACTCCACTTATCTGGACAAGTTACAGATATTTGACTCAAGTTTACAAGTTTTCACATCCAAACTCGGTCGTGTTACTTCTCACAGGTGAGGTCGGCACAGAGTATGGACAAGGGACACAGAAATATTTAGTGGAATGGTGTCAACAGAACAAGGGCGTGTCCAGGGAGTGAGCTAGTGTAGCACATGCCACCCTTAGAATCTGATTGGCCACCCCAGGTGCCACCCCACTGAGTTCCATTTAAACTGACTTTCCATTGTCCATAAAAGGCTTGGGGTTACAAACCCCAAGACAGTGGGTGGCAGCATGTACCTTTAACACTGGTTTCTAACAGCAAGCCTACAGGACATTTCTGTAATATTGTTATTATTATTTTATTTGTTTTCTATAATGACAGAATTTGACAATTAGAGTCTCGCTCCCAGTTCCACTCCATCCCAATTGTTCAAGAGGTGGTTACCACACAACAGCAAGAAGAAGAAGATAATGATGAAGAATAGTAAATTGCCTGTATTTGATATAGCACCTTCTAGAGTCCAGCCCCCCCCCCCCCCCCCCCCCAGACGCTGTACAACGCAATCAGTCATTCACTCATTCCCAGACGCATGCACACCCTGGTGAGGATGAGCCACGATGTAGCCACAGCTGCGCTTGGGCGCACTGACAGAGGTGAGGCTGCAGAGCATTGGCGCCACCGGTCCCTCCGACCACCACCATCAGGCAAGGGGCGTTAAGTGTCTTGCCCAAGGACACAACGACAGCGACAGACTGAAGTGGGTCATGGCACATTGTGGAACTCAAAATCACAACAAAGACAAGAAAAAAAAAAGAAAAATAAAGTGTAACCATTGGTGCCGCCCATGCATAAACAGTACCACACATGGGCCACCCCATTTTAAAATGCCTGGACACGCCTCTGCAGCAGAACCACTTCCTGATCAACACGGGAAAAACAAAGGAGCTGCTGGTAAATGTATGTGTGCATGGTTGAATGACTATATGTGTTGCGAAGTGCCTTGAGGGGTTGTAGAACCCTGTATAATACAGGTCATTTGCCATTTATTCTTATAGGTACTTGGATGTTAAGCTGAACAACAAGCTAGACTGGAGCCAAAACTCAGAGGTTCTTTTAATGAAGGGTCAGAGCAGACTAACTGCTGAAGAGACTGAGGTCCTTTGGAGTGAAGGGGGGAATCCTGAAGACCTTTTTTGACCCTGTGGTGCCATCAGCAATCTGTTAGTGTATGGTTTGATGGGACAGAAGCTAATCTATGTCTGAGAGACAGAAACTAAAATTAGCCTAGCTCTGTCCCAGGATGTCCCCTTGATCCAGGGAAGGAGGTGGGAGACAGAAGGACTCCAGCAAAAATTACATCACTGCTAGACAATGTCTCTCACCCCTTGCATGAAGTCTTTGAGGAGTTAACCCTTTGATGCATAATGGTCACTACAGTAGACAGGCACTCAAAATTGTTATTTATTTTATTTTTCTGCTATTAACTCATTCACTGCCATTGACGACTAAAGTCGTCATTTGCATTTTTTTTACTGTGTGGGCATCGGAATGAGCCCCCGCACAGTGAGAACAAACATCTCAGCTCTAAAGCCAATCTTCATCCGCATACGTCACACGTCATGTGATCAGGAAGCGGAAAATCCATGTGTTGGGAGATTGTTTTGGGGCGCTGCTGTATAAAAAAAAAATACAGAGGCACGAACCGGAAAAGCTTCTGCCGATCACAATTCAGCAACGGATTAAGAAAGAACGGATAAAGCTCGAAACGCGCGGATTCTTCCTGATGTAAGAGGTGAGTCTCCGCTTTGCTTTAGTTGTTTTGGCGTCAATATCGTGACTCTTAAAAAAAACAGGAAAAACGGTGAGAAACGCTGGCAGTGAAGGGCTTTACCGATCAGGAGACGGCTGGCAGCGAATGAGTTAAGCACAGCTGTTGAAGACTTTATTGCATTTGAGCCCCTCCATTTGGACTTCAGTAAGTCAAGCCGACATATCTCATGTTCAGAATGCTCGCTGTCCACTGAGGTGGACATGTAATAAATTATTTGTAAATTATTAAATTTACAAAAAGTAGTTGTTGAAATTTGTTTCATTCACACCTAAAGATGAAAATTGTTTAAAAAAAACATGGTTGAAGATTTCATAATTGAAAGGAAGACATTGCCAATGGTCTTCCCTCCTAGTTAGACTCTGTAACCACCACTGCTCCCACCAAAC